CCCCCGCCGGGCTCCCACCCCACCTTCTTCGTCACCGTGGGCGCGCCCTTGATGCGGCGCGCCCCCGCGGCGTACTTGAGGGTCAGCAGCGTCTCCTCCATGTCGGCTGGCTCCCCGCTCACGCAGGCCACAATGCAGATGTACGCGTTGCCGCCCAGGGAGTCCTGCAGGTTGTGTTGGCCGGCTTGGTTGGCCGAGTGCCATGCCCCCAGTTTGCTGGGATGGACTCTAAGCGGAGGCCGGGGGTCAGTCCGTTGTTGCGAGGACGGTGCTGCGTGCTAAGCCAAACGCACCAAGGCCACGCGCGCGAGCGGCGGCTCGCGCCTCAAGGTCGCGAAGCATGGAGGAGGGGAGAGGCGCGCGCCGCGTATAGCGCACCTGCAGCATCCTGGTGAGGCGGGACTCGCGGTATGGGACGTGCTCCTTCGCGTCGTGCGCCCTACGGCTGTTGACCTGCAGCGCAGCCATCACCTGGGCACAGAGGGGGTTGCGGAACGGGGCTAGTGTGTGCGCGGTCGTCGGGTGGTGGTGGTGGGTAGGCAGAGGTTTGTGTGAGCACGCCTCACGGAGTCAAGCCAAGACCGTCACCATCTGGGGAACGAGCAGGCGGCTGAGAATGCTGTGTGGTGCTACTCGTCCCAGCGCATGCGCCGGCCAGACCGGCGCATGCGAGGGCGCGCGCACCTTTTGCAGCACCAGCAGCCCGCTGTTGATGGAGATGGCCTCCCGCATGCGCGCGCCTGCCGGGCCGAGGGGCAGAGTCCGAGAGGGTTTGTTCAGGCACCCATTGCTACAGGATACCCACATTAGCCGTGCGCTGCCCCAGGCAACACTCATCGTGTTCCACCTGCGACAGCATATGACCAGCTTGGTCGCAGCAGCGCGAGACGCTGCGCCTCCGCGTCTCGTCGCTGTCCGGACGCACCACAACCCGCCCGCTCCCTCCACCCACCCTCTGCCTTGGTGCGCTTGCACCTCTCGCTGCCGGCCAGGTCCACTATGTGCAGCTTGCTCGCATACGCCACGCCCGGCTCCGCCGCGGGGCGCCGCGACAGCAGGAGCGTGTAGATAGCATGCGCTCTCGAGGAGCGCAGATTGAGGTTGGTCGTGCCTGGCAGGGGTGAACGAGGGGCACGAACGTTTGGTTGACATGGGTTTGATATGGGGTTGGAGGCTGGCAATAAAGGACTCGCATCTGTAAGGGTTGCGTGGTGGGCGGCGCTGGTCCTAGGCCCGACTGGGCGGTCCAAGGTGCATTCCTGGCGCTGCAGGGCTGGCTGCGGCTGAGGGCCCGTTCCTGCAGCCCATGGCGGTCACTGTGCAGCAGCGGAGCTCACCCACGACGCGGCTCTGGCAGCCCAGAAGGAACAAATCCAGCGCCCGCGCCGCGCCCGTCTCGTCAGCATCGACCGGCTCCTGCGGCGCGCGCAGCGGTCCACGCCTCAGCAGCACGCGGCCGCGCGCCAACACCACCAGCGGGATGCGAGCTCGCGTGAGGCGGGCGCCGCATCGGCCGTCCCGCTGCCTACACCGCTGACCAGCCCTCGTTGTCTCTCCCTCTGGGACTGTACGTGTGATGCACGTTTGCTCTGCTGCTAACTCTCGCCCACCTGCAGGACTCCCTCCATGATGATGGCGCCATCTGGGCCCTCGTTGATGCGGATGAGGCGGTGGTCAAACGACGGGTCAAGCAGGTCGCGCACGTCTTCGTTGTAGATCTGTGGGTGGTGTGTACGTACGCGCATTCGCATGTGCGCGCGTGCACACGTGTAAATGTGTGTGTGTGGGGGGGGGGCCGGGAAAACTGGACAGCCCGGCAGGACGGGATATCCTGGGGAACACACATAGACATGAGGTTTGTGCGCACCTCAACAAATTGCACTCGCAGGTCGACCTCTGCCTCGCCGCTCTGCCGCATCGCGGCCGCCGCGTCAAACACGTCGCATATCGCGCGCTGCAGCACGCCCAGCTGGTCCCCTTTCTGATCTGCAAGTGGAAGCAGGGGAGCGGAGGAGGGGGGGCAGACGATGTGTCACCACCGGCTGCGTGGAGGGGACGCTGCTTTTCTCACAGGCTCCCCATTCGCCCCACTGCTGCTCCTGCTGCTGTTGCGGCTGCAAACGTGCCAGCACTGCCGCCACTCACCTTCTCGCCCCATAGTGTGTGTCTTGCCGCTCCCCGTCTGCCCGTAGGCCATCACCGTGGCGTTGTACCCCGCCAGAAAGCGCGACACGAGCGGAGCGACGCAGCTGCGGCATAACAGACACGGGCAATGGTGCGCGTGCGGCACAAGAGTGAGGCCCATGAAACGGTCTCTGGTGCAGCAGATAATCACTACGCCAACGCGCCGACAGCTGCCCGCAAAGCTTTTCCCCGTGTCGCGTCACGACGAGCCGCACCAGCCCTGTCAGCTGCACGGCGGCGGCGCCCACCTGCGGTACACGTCCTCCTGGCCCGCCTCCTTTCCAAATACGCTGTCAAACTTGAACGTGGGCGCCGGCTGCAGGCGGTTGGTGCCGTCTGTGGCTACAACGCTGTTGCTGACTGAGTCGAGCTCAACCAGGCCGACGGGGTCGCGGTCCCACACCACGCGCAGATGCGGGCGCAATCTGGCGGACGCAGCAGGGGGTTGGGGGCAAATCGCACGCGGTCGCGTCGCGGCGCCTTGCTGCGATACGGCCTCCGACTGTGATACATGCCACCCACGGCCATGTGCAGCCGAACCGCACCACCGACCCACCGGACAGCCACTCGAACCGCGCGGTCCATGCTGCTACCACCAGTCTCTGAAGACAGGAGGCTGCTGGAGGACGCCTCGCCCGCCAGCGCCACGGGCCCTGAGGGCAGCGGCATTGCGCCAAAGGCGCCAGCGAAGGTGGGTGTTGACCGCCCGCCGCCCGGAGGCGTGCTGCACCGGCTGCCCGCAGGCGACCTGCGGCTGAATATAACCGACGAGGTGAGGGGAAGATCTGTTGAGGAACCAGCCGCGCGTGCTCTGCTGTGTAGCGGGCAACGCTGGGCTTGCCGCCGAGCGCCGTACCTGCTATCGGGCGTGCCGCTCTGGCGCTTATGCGTGCCCAGCCGTGGCACCACTGCACGACAATCGTCCATGCTGAAATGCTATAGCACTACACGATGCGCTTCGAGCCGCGGGACACTGGCTTCTCACAGCTAGTATCATCTGGCCACGATCGCCCAGCAACTTCAACGATACATTCGATGCTATCTGTTCTTGAATCGCGATTCGACGGAGCGCCAAACTGATCGAGACGGCCTTCAGCAGCAGGTCAACTGGCTGCCCGCCCTCCGCGCGCCCGGGATACAGACGGTACTTGGAATGATTGATGCGCGAGGATGTAAGGAAGAAGATATATGCGACACCGTGCGATGGCTTGCCAACTCACCCGATTCACGTTCAAAAATCAGATCAGTCAGCTGCCAGGTGTATGGGCGCAACAGGGGCGCAATGAGAGTGAACATATGTCCACGTGGTGGATGAGAATATGAGTATACCTCAACTACCTTGGATTCGTAGTCGCCCGTTCCCATCTCACAGGGGGCGTGAAGTGTGCGGCAGACAGCAGAGTGCTGCTCGTGCTGCTCAAAGAGAGTCAGGTGTCCCTGCCCATACCCGTTCCACCGGGACTCGTGTCACGAATCACCTGAGAGTGACGACGAGCCAATCGTAGTGGTGAGATGTTATTGGATAACAAGGAGTGCTTGATAAGCATCCGTTACCGGGTGCAGCACGCGTGCCGGCTGCGTGCAGCGCAGTGGAGGGCGCCAGTGTGCTGGCTGCTGTTGGGCGGTCCCTTGAACTTTGCATGCGGCAGAGATGAAGCGAGTTGCACCTGTGCATCGTGGCTTATGATCGGCAGAGGCACGCGGGTTGAGCTGAAGGCCAGTCAGACTGCACACTCTTGTGCAAGTGTTAATCAGTTGTGAGTCAGTTATTTACAGCATGCCTGCACATTGCGCGTCGAATTGGTTGTACTGACGTACAGTATAACAACATGGGTATAGCGACGTGTGTTCCACTTCAGTCAACTCCTAAAGACAGGGCCCTGGTGTGGTTCATCACAATGTAGCGAGTGTATGAGGTCAAATATAGCTGGCAGCGCCGTTGCCTTGTAAGGGTGGGCTACATGGTGATAGTCATGTACTTTCCTTCAGGTTGTGCATTTCCAGTTTGAAGGTTGTGATTGCTGCAATTACCCCAGCACACATGCGTGACAACATGTCAGATAACGTCACAATTTTCACTTTATGCATATTATTGCAGTACACGTGCCTAAGATGTTGATTTGAGAGCCCACACCTTGTATTCCGCCGCTGTTTCATGCCAAGCAGGTTTATGCTGGTTTACTCAACCCAATACGCGTGTCAAGATGGTACAATTTGTTACAACACTGCAACCCAGTACCACGCATGGGGATTGCTGCTAAGGCAAAGCTGCAACTCTCATTAAGGAGAGTAAACACTTCCTGTCAAGAGCCCACTCTCCTCCTTGCAACGAATTGCACTGCATCCAAGTGGTTAGTAAGAGCCGCGCAATATCACGTGCTCAGCACTCGTGTCAACAAGCCCTGTGCACAGGCACAGCGCTCCTGGCTTTGTGCATGTTGTGCACAGAAGCAGGCAGGTCAATGTGAATGTAGCGCAGACAATTTGCTGCAGGCAGACAACCAATGTGAGTTCGATCGTTTACTTGGGCACCAGCACGGTGTCGATGACGTGGACGATGGACTGTGAGAGAGAAGTGGTAGGAGGGGAGGGGTCAGAGGATGCAGCGTTACGACACAGTCACAATCCTCATGCCATGATACAACACTACTGTCACACCCAGTCAGCCAAAACAGCAAGCACGATCACGCGTTGGTGCTGGCATCCCACACAATCACAACATACCTTGCCAGCGGGCACATCAGCGGCGACAACGGTGGCGGAGTTGGTAGCGCCCTTGATGACGACGGTGCCAGCCCTACAGGAGAGGGCAGCGCACACAAGGAGATAGGTTGTCAGCTGGCGTTTGTGTGGTACAAGTTCGTGTTCATACCAGTTTCAATCCATCCTCCTCAGGACCCAACAAAACCATCTGGCGTCAAGCCAGCCCTGACTGGTACACAACTGTAAAGCAACCAGCTGCCAGCCCGTCGTGGGTGGTATTATCTCTGGAACGACCTTGCTGTGTGGCCCAGCCCGGCGGCTCACTTGGAGAGGTCGACGGTCAGGTCCTGGCCCTTGAGGAGGGTGGCCCACTTCTGGCCGTTCTTCAGGGAGGTGGACTTGGCCGCACCAACTGCAGCGCAATGGCGGGGGGCCGATTGGTTGATGTCACATCAATTTGACGACATATCAGCGGGGGGTCAAGTCATATCAACTGAGGCAGGTCAGACCCATCAGCAATTCAACCGTCATCCCATTGCAAAGTGACCTGGACCAATGCACGCGTGGACTGCCCTGGCAACAATGCATACATTTTCTGCTCTGTTCCCAAGGAGGACGGTTGCTCACCGGGCACCACGTGGTAGGAGAGCACCTTGGTCAGCAGGGCCTTGTCAGCCAGCAGCTTCTCGGGGGTAGTCTTGAGGGCAGTGATCAGCTTGGCGAACGCTGCGCGGCGCGAGAGGCGCAAGGGCGCTGGGTTAGGGGATATTCCGGATGCACAGCGCACGTCACTGCAGGTTTTGTTGGGACACACCGCGTCACTGCAGGCTTTGTTGGGACACACCTCACCCCCAAAGGCATTACCGTCTCCGATGCGCACCAGCGTTGGTGGGGGCAAAGATGGTCAGGGCCAGGTCGGGCTTGTTCAGGGCGTCAGCCAGGCCAGCCGCCTTGACGGCCGCCAGCAGGGTGCTGAACTGGGCAGCGGGGGCGCCAGCCAGGGAGCTGGTGATGGTAGTGGTCTTGGCCTTGGCTGCAAGATTGGGGAAAGGCGGGCAGGGATGCAGAGAGTGAGCTGGCGGTCACAGGGCGGCTGCTGGAAGCATCATGCCGACCGTGCCTAGCGGCAACCCGCCTGCGCCATGCAAAGATTCCTGATGGCATCAACTGCGCCCCTTGCACTTCAGGGACCACAGCTCACCAGCTGGGTCACCCTTGAGGGCCCTGTTGGCAGAGGCGCTGCCGGCCACCAGGGCTGAAGGCAGCGGCAATGTGAGGGGGTGGGAGGGGTGGGGTGAGGGGTGAGTATTGCCATGGTCACAGCTCTCATGAGAGGGTCACAGAGTCTCAGACTGCATGCGCCACACATGGGCCGAGCCCTTGAGGACCGTGCAGGGTTGCATAGATATGCTGCACTGCATCGATGTGTGTGCTGAATGGCTGAACTGCAGGGCCCCTGGTGCACCGGGTATACTGCTCACCCAGGACAAGCAGCACGACGGCGGCGTAGCGGGCCATTGTGTAGGTGATATGCACGATTTCGCAGTGTAGTAAAAGCAAGTCGTGAAATATGCGATTATGTACGCTATCGGCGGCTTAAATAGCGAGGGGACATCGCAGTGATCATAGGCTCCTCCCGTTATGCGCGGTGATGCTGGTGACGAAGGCCGCGTCGCAGCCACAGACGGAGATGAGACGGAGAAAGCCATGTCAACCATCAAAACCCATGTAATTGTTACTGAACATACGCAGGGATCATTGAATGGCCCAATGGAGAGCATGGGCAAGGCGTTTCGTGTGCAGGTTGTGGCCACAGTCCAGGATGCTTCGCAGCGCCCCCAAGCATCAGCCCTGCATGCTCAACCACCTAGGGTCGAGGGGGCTAGGCTCATTAGCCCAAACACTCCCACTCTCGTCTGACTACTGCATCATAGGCGAAGCTTTACAATCCCATGCTCCCAGCCGCGCCAGCGCAATGCAACTGTCTCGACTCACAGGTTGATGCGGTGTTGCGGTCCACCTCCTGTGCAGGTGTGGTTTCCATCACTTGCAGCTGCGAAAACAATTTGTCGGCCACACACATATGTTTTTATGAGAGTGGATGCAAGCTAACATGAACACCCTGTGGCTACCACTCCATGTGAGCCTACTCTCCTACCAGCTGTGCGACAATTGGGTAGGTACACCTGTCTTCAGCTGTGTTGAGAACTACGACATTGCCACCACACCAAACAGGCTGCTTCAACCAAGCGCCAGCGATGCACCCACAGAGCAAGGGGTCGTGCTGCATTTACACAGTCAACCAAACTACTTGCGGGGAGCGCGGCAGAGACGGAAATACAAGTGCGCCTGTAGCAAGGGGATGGGATACGGTTGCAAGTACCACAAAAAAGCACTCCTGCAAATGATGCACATGCACACCCCTCAAACAAAGCCACCTCTCAAAAAGGTTCTGCGTGTGGGCGCACAACACTGCTCGATCGTTCACGGCTGTGCCAACAACAGGTAGCGCATTCAATCACTAGTCTGCATGAATGCTTTTCCTTGTGCGTTGCCCCAGCAGTGTGCCTGATACGGCACCAAATGGCTTGAGGCCACACAAAAAAGTGGCAATTGCCGATGACAATGCAGATGCAGCCTGCTGACCCGCCTGGAAGGCAGCCTTGTCCACCTAGTCTTCAAGCTTACTTGGGCACAAGGACGGCGTTAATGACATGCACCACAGACTGCGATTGCGGATGGGGGGTTGACGGGGGGGGGGGGGATGAGCGACAACCGGCCGGCTGGGGATAAGGAAAATGGCTCAGCAGACGTGAGCCAAGAATGAGGGGAAATCAGTTGAAATCAACCACGCGTGCCACGCTGCGGTACGGCCAGGCCTGCTATTTCGCCAGCTCAAAATGCTGTGGCACACCTTGCCGGCAGGCACGTCAGGGACGATGACAGTGGCACTGTTAGTGGCGCCCTTGATCACAACAGAGCCGGCCCTAATGGGGAGGCAGAAGGCCACGGGTCACGGTCAGGTCAGGTGGCTAGAGGGGTCACAACAGGACCATGGCAAGTGGCTCGGATGAAGCATTCCATGATTCCACCATTTCAAATCCCCTCCAAACTGCCAAAGTTGCACCAGCCAGCACCACGCAGCGCCCAGGCCTCAAATCCAGTCAAGGGGAGGATGCAAAATGCCGGCTTGGCAAGTCAGCGGCTCACTTGGAGAGGTCGACTGTCAGGTCTTGGCCCTTGAGGAGGGTGGCCAGCTTCTGATTGTTCTTGAGGGAGGTGGACTTGGCCACACCAACTGCAGGGGCAAGACACAAACGCGCAGAAACCCCAGTGTCAGTGCACGAGGGCACAGAAGTTTGAGCAGGTACTTTGCTTACTGGTTTTGCGGCAGGACGAGAGCACTCACGGCAGGGGCCACACAGCAAGTAAGTGCTGCCCTAACTGCACATACATTGTGTCAGCCTGGCTGATGCAAATGCCCGTGGCAACTAGTGCAGCTCTCACTGGTGTCAACTTACTGGGAACGACGTGGTACGAGAGCACCTTGGTCAGCAGGGCCTTGTCAGCCAGCAGCTTCTCGGGGGTGGTCTTGAGGGCAGTGATCAGCTTGGTGAACGCTGCACACAGCGTTGCGGAGAGAAGAGGCGGGGCGGCTTCAGCGTGTTGAATTAGTATGGGATGATGCACGCCCCTGACATATGTTGACACAGCTGGTGCAGGGAGCACCGCTCGTGAGGGAAGGGTGTCATCGCAAGGTGCAAGGACAGCGCCACTCACCATCGTTGGTGGGGGCAAAGATGGTGTAGGCGAGGTCGGGCTTGTTCAGGGCGTCGGCCAGGCCAGCCGCCTTGACGGCCGCCAGCAGGGTGCTGAACTGGGCGGGCGGGGCACCCGCCAGCGCGCTGGTGATGGTGACGGGCTTGGCCGCAGGGGTCGCAGCAGCCATCATGGGGGGCGTGGTGACGGCGGCCGTCATAGGGGCGGTGCCAGCAGCCATCATCGGCGCGGCGCCACCGGTTGTCATGGGGGTGGCGGCAGCGGCCGTCATCGGGGTGGAAGTCGCCATTATGGAGGTTGATCCTGGGGCGGTGGTTGGGGCAGATTTTGGGGGTGGTGGGTGGTGCACGCAAGCAATTGAGTTGCAGTAAGCACGCTCTCAACATCGCAAATTGCATGCCGGCTCGGGTTGTGCGCAGCAACCCCTTTCACCCACCAGAGGTGCAGGGCGTCTGCTTCAAGGTCCGCGCAGCAGCATCTGGGGACAGCAGGCCTGGCGGCGGCAGCGGCAGCATTGGGTGGTGGGCAACAGGCGTGTGTAAACTTTGGGTTCACACTCGCAGGTCAACGCGTCAGGTCGAGCACCGGTTCATACCCCCTCGCCCCATAATAGAATGGTGAGCTTTTTTGCATGATGGTATTAGACGGCTGCATGCAATGTGCCATCGAGCCCTGGCTCGTGCGCCGCGCAAGCCCTCACCCAGCACAACGATCGCCAGGAGGCCAGCGGCAGCAGTGAGGCGGGCCATGTTGATGGGTGATAGACAAGCGAATGATGAGCGTACTTGATATGCGCTTTTGGATTGTGAGGCGCAGTCTCGGTGCAATCCCAACAAGACATCGACCGCGGACCGTGGGTGTGTCTGGTGATCCGGTTTCGCGATGCTATCTCAGCCACAAAGGGGGCTAGAGGTCGGAAGCCAGGTGTCACAGCTCTCTTTAGTCCTCTTGACACCTGCACTAATGCATACCGTCTAGGCACACAGGCATTGCAGCGCCATTGCCGCCCAATCCTGCTGCGGCGGGTCGGCTGCCGTACTGACACCAGCGCTGCTGCCCAATCGCGCCTCGGCTTATGGGCCACATCCAGTGTCTTCCCCTGCTGATGCTGGGTGTGGTGTTCTGACAAGCTGCGTTGTATGCCTACGGTACGCTCATTGTCCGCGTTTTCACACTCCGTATCGTTGGTGTCGCCTGCGCAAGAGGTAGGCACGACTCCGGGTATTGCTGGCACACGCGCATGCGGTAAGAGCGCGAGCGCCGTTGGTTTGACGCAAGCCCCCATGGTCCCAGAGCTCTTTGATGCGAGATACAACAAATCAGCAAACGCCGCCTTGGAAATTTGAATGTCAGACACACACCGTGGATGCTTGAAACTTCAATCAATGGCTGCAGAAACAGGCCATTGCGGGACGCTGCAACGATCCTAATCCTAATCCCTTAGATCACGCGCAGGCTGCTGCCTGCGTATTGTGATGGCGACAGCAGCGCACAACGCAAAAGTCAACATGGCAACTCATTCCCTGGCAACAGGTTGTTGTGAGAACTGGCAAAGTAGTGGTCATCGGCCACCGAGTGTGCCTTGGCAGCAAGGGAGCAATTCAGCAGCAGGGGGACCCTCATGTTTGAGCTCTGCAATCCTGCCACCAGTACACACTCGGGGACAGCCTAGCAAGAAGAGAAGACGCTGCCTTGCCAACGGGCTGGTGTTTACTAAAACACCAAGGCATATGAGGCGCCATCCTGCAGCTTCAACAACTTGGGATCACTCCAGTACTCTGTTTGAGCTGGAAGAAGCTCTCGCCCAGTTTCAGTGAGTGATGTCATAGTGGATGATGTACTCAGGGTAGGCCTGGTGGTACGGGAGGCACAGACGTGTGTGAGCAGTGCATGTACAGGTGCACGCTTCTGTGTGATGTTCGTATGTGTGTTTGACCTTGCTTTGCTTCAGACCATGCCTCCATGAAATTTATGCAAATCTGTTCAAATCCGTTCAAATCCGTTCAAAAAAGCGACTCGGGGCTGCGTCCCTCGCGTGTGGGGCCGCGAAATTGCCCCTGCCTCCCCTTTCTTCCCTGCCGCCTAGACCACAGCCTGGTGTCCTTGTTTAGCATAACAGCCATCCACACATCCACTTCTCGCACCTGGTGATTGTCAAAAACGGCGTAGGCGTCCTTTGGGTAGCGCCTGACGTCATTGCCAGGATTCTTTGAAACGGCGTGGAAGCCGCGGCTGCAGATGCGCATGCCAGGCTTGCCCTCCTGTGAGCGTGTGCGTGCCCGGGGCCCCGTTTGGGCACAATAGTACGTCAGTCAGTAAACGATGCATTTGAGAAATTGATGGCATGAGGCGACCCAAAGACCATGCGCATGTGGCCCTGCCAGAGATTGAGCTGTCCAGCAGTGCGGTCGCTGAGTTTGAGACGCCAATCAGGCGCTCTGTGTCCTCGTCACTCGCCTCAATGCTGCCGAGGGTGACCCTGCAGAGAAGGATCGCGAACCGGCCCGCCCACTGGTGTCCTGCCACCCGCCCATCGTCGCCCACGCCGCCGCCGCCGCCGCCGCTGTTGCTGCCGCCACGCGGGCGGTGTCCGTGGTGGCTGGGGCTGCTGCGCAGGCCCAATGCAGCGTTGATTGCTCGGTCGGCAGAGTACTTGTGGGAGTACGACGCATGGCCTGCAGTTAGGAGGTCGTGTGTATATGTATGTGTGCACGCGCGTGTGTATGTGTGTTGGGGGGGGCCAAACAGGCGTGTGCATTCGTCCGCACGGGTGTGCTTTGCGTGGAATTTGCACATGCCGCTGCGTCGCTACATTCCAGTAGATACTGCTTGTGGCTTGGCTTTGGACTAGGCGCGGCTAGAAGGTCCGACAGGCGCTTTTGCTGGGTAGGCTCGGCGACCCCACCTCCAAAGTAGATGCCGGCGCCCAGGCTGCCGTACATGTTGCTGTACTGGGCCTAAAAGGTCGACCGGGTTTGGGAAGAGTGGTGCGACGTGATCAACCAACGCAGCATTGCCACAATAGCCGCAACCAGGACTCGACGCATCAACTAAGCGCGCACGGCTGGAGCCAGGTGAGGCCGCTGTGACTGGGGCATCTGAGCCCCGCGTCACCCTCACACCCCCGAAACCCTCCACCCACCTTGAAGCCGCCAGATATGATGGAGTATATGTTGTCCCGCGACGGCGTGCCGTGCCACAGCTGGTGCTCGTTCAGAAAGGTCGGCCAGGCCCCCACCTCGTCCTGGATGTGCCTAGTGTCACGGCAGGATGCACCGTGGTGAGCGAGGATCGTCAAGATGCATTTAATAAGTCATCCTGCCAGTGATATTAACCATAGCTGCACAGCTAGGTCAGCCCACGGTCTGTGTGCAGCCTTGAGGCCGCCCCAAAACGCTGTGGGGTCGAGAGCTCAGCAGACGCAGACCGCTCGAGGCAGAGGCCCTGCACCGCCCCACCGCGCGCCAACCCCCTCCCCCTCACTCTCTCTTGAGGGCGTAGCTGGTCCACAGCTTCCAGTTCTGCACCCGCTCCACGCGCCGCACCACCAGCCCGGGGTGCGCGCCGCCGCGCCCGCTGCGGTGGCGGCTGCTGCTGGCCCAGTGATCCTCCGTCATTTGGCTCAAAAACAGCCGCGCCACGTCGCCGGCCTCCCGCTCCAGCCGTTGCCGCGCCTCATCAGCAGCCGCGCCGCTGGCTGCTGCGCCGCCCTGCTGCTGCTGCTGCTGCTGCTGCTGCTGGAGCGCGCGTGCGGCGCCACCCTGGTGTGCAAGCGGGGCGCGGCTGTTGCGAGCTAGCCGGGGCTGCAGGCACGACGGCCCTGCCCCGCATCAGCCCAGCTTGCCGCTCAAGTCGCTGTCCCCCAGCTCACCCTCTCATCGGTGCATTTTGCACGCCCCATCTCGCCCCAGGCCAACCTGTTGCACCCGCCGCACCGTCCCGGGTCTGCCGGAGGACCCCCCCCACCTGTGCCAGGCTGGCAAAGTGGAATTCGATGGCGCCCGCCACGCTGCCGCCCGCATGGCTTAGCGCCGCCACCGCGTCCTCGCGGCTCAGCCCGTTGGCAGTCAGCTCTGCCACTAGGGGCTTAGGCAGGGCCGCCTCCGCTGCAGCCAGGGGTTCGGCGGCCACATCAGCGGCCGCCACATCTGCGCGCGCGGCCCAGGTTCGATGAGACACCGTTTGTGATTGTCAAGCTCAACGACTGAGTAAAAATACGCATCCTCCGGGATCATTGTGCACCAGCTGCAGTCTCAATACCCCGCCCCAGAGGCCGGTCGGGAACGCCACGAGGCACGCAAAGCCTCCCCCCCAAAACACCTGCAGGCAGGGGCAGCTCCACCAGTTTGACGCCGTCCGACTCAGCCGCACTCATCGCCGCCCAGTGCGCCGGCACGGGCGCTCTCAGCCGCTCCCCGCTCGCGGACGCGCCTGCGGCCGCAGCCGCCGCCGCCGCTGCCGCCATGCGTGCGGCCTCGGCGGCCTCCAGGCGGAGCCTCTCCGCCTCTGCCCGCGCCGCCGCCGCTGACGCCTGCTCCAGCTGCTCCCTCAGTCGCCTGATCTCCCTCCGATGCTCCTCCAGCGAAACCGCCGCGCCCAGCGCCGCCGCGGCGGGCCCAGGCGCGGCCACGGGTGCCACTGGTGCCGGGCCGGCGGCCGGCGCCTGCTCCCAGTCCATCTCGGCGACTTCGAGCCCGGGTGGCGGCGGTGGCAAGGGTGCAGGCGCGACAGGCGCAGACAGCTGCGCCGCGTTGTGGCCGTCGGCGCCTCCGGTGCCAGGCACATTTCCGGGCGGGTCAATGGCGGCCGCGGTGCTTGGGTCGTCGTTGCCATCCGCCAAATCTATCCCGATTGTTTGCGCCAGCTGGACAACACACCGGCAGGTGCACGACAGGCGGATTGGTCAGTGCCCCATCAAATGAAGGCCAGAAAGAGTGTGTGCATGTTATGAGAGCTGGCTGCACGAATACTAGATCCCAAAGACCCAATTGACGTATCAACCAGCATCAGACAATCATGCAAGCATCAGATCACATTAGGGTCAGATTGACTCAGATCACGCCCATCGGACCATATTGCGGCGCCCACCTCCTGCTCGCTCATGCCCTGCCACAGCAGCTCCTCCAGCACCGAAGGATCCATGCCATTCAACTCCGCCAGCCGCTGCAGCCGTTCCGATGCGAGCCGCGGCGCGCCCGGCCCCCTCGCGTCGCCGCCGCCGCCGAAACCTGCGCCCCCGTCGCTGCAGCTCGGACCCGCAGCAGCGGCAGCGGCGGCCCGGCCGTATGACTGCGCGGCGCCTCCATCATCCCAGGCGGCCATCACGCTGCTTGTCACGCTGTCGCTGCTGCCGCGCCGCGCCCTGCCCAGGTGCCCCATGTCTGGCAGCCTGTCCAAGGCCGGTAGCGGCGGGGCCGCAGCTGCTCCAGCTGCAGCCGCTGCTGCTGCGGGGTTGCCTCTGATGGCCAGCCCAGCCAGCTGGGCCATGGGTGGTTGGGCCAGGCGCTGGTGCTGGCCCAGCTCCTGACCCCGCAATGGCTGATTTGCCAGCAGCTGTACCTGCTGGTGCTGCTGCTGCTGCTGCTGCTGCTGCTGCTGCGCCTGCTGCGCCTGCTGCGCCTGCTGCGCCTGCTGCTGCTCCCGCTGCTGCTGCAGCCCCTGATCCTGCTGCTGCTCCTGCCACTGCTGCTGCTCCTGCCACTGTTCCTGCTGCTGCTCCTGCTGCTGCTCCTGCGCTTGCTGCTGCCGCTGCCGCTGCTCCTGGGCCTGCTGCTGCTGCCCCTGCTGCTCCTGCCCCTGCTGCTGGGGCTGCTCGTGGCGCTGCAGATGTGGCGGGAGCAGCAGCTCGTCCCTGCCGCTCGCAGGTGCTGCTTCAGCCCCCTGCCTATGCGCCTGGCCGGGGGCGGCGCCGGCCACTGGCTCGGTCCGTTGGCGCTTGGGAGGCGCTGCGGGCAGGAGCGCCGCGAGCCCGCTCAGCGCCCCGCCTTCGGCAGCGACGGCAGAACCGAAGCTCAGCGCCATGGCTGGCGGCCAGTTGATGGGGGGCGGCACGGCGTGGGCTCTGGGAGCGGCAGGCGCGGGCCCTCCAAAGCCCGTTAGAAGCATGCCGTACGGCACCTGTCCAGATCCGGAGGCCCCCCCATCGCCCCGATCTCCGTCTCCGCCCCAGCCGTTTGCCGCATGGTGCTGCAGCATCCGCGAGAAGGCGGCGGCGGCCTCTGCCTCGGTGTACTCGTCTCGCACGCGGATGCGGCGGCGGCTAAAGTCCACGCGCAGCGGGCCAACCTGCAGTGGAAGCGCGGCGTTGAGGTGCGTGGCTGCAGGCGCGTGCGGCATCCCAGCATGTGTGCGCATATGGGCCCGAGAGGGTGTGTGCGGGCATGTCACATAGAGAGGGAGGCGGCGAAGGCTTTCAAAAGCATGTACGCATGAAGCACGCCTAAACAGTAAGCCCAAATCTGAACAAGCCGACCCTATCAAGCAGTGCGACTCAAGCCT